CTATAAAGTTTACAAATTAAAAAGTCTCAAAAAACCTACTTATATTCACTTAATGTCTAACTATCATACACCATTTTAAAGAAGAAGTAAAAACACACAAAATAACATCATTATTATAACAATTATACCTATATCCTATTGACTATTCATAAAAAATTATTCCCAATATTTTCCTTAATTACGCTTAAACTACTAACACGATTCATACAAAACTTCGATATATTATTCCTATAACTACCTACTATCTAATAAGATATAAAATAAATCAATCAAAACATAAAACATACTATTATCGAAAATTGTCAACTCAGGCAAAATCCTATAAGACGTGAGACAAGGACAACCTATTGTCTCCGTCCCTCCTATAGGTCGGAACTATCAGTATTCTGACTAGTTTCCCCGCGCCACCGCTTGGCGTCGTGGCGATCGTTTAGATAAAGTCTTATAAGATTATTGGAGAGAACGGGGCGGAATATCGCTCTGAACTATCAATTTTACAATGGTTTACTATGGGCAGAGCTATCTATTATTGCGATATCCGACTCATTCTAATAAGACAACAAGGGAATGATATTTTTAATGCGTATACAACCGATTCATGTGAAATTATAGATACATTTTTATACATTGCTCTCGTATTGTCGTTAGTTCATTTTCTCTCGCTTCGGTCGTAAGGCGGTCGTCTCGTACATACTCCCGCCGTGCAGCGTCGGTTGACTCGTCGCTGCATCCAATCACCGTGGGAGAGGCGACCGATGATGTTGTATGCACCACCAGCCGCTCCGAAGGTCGATGTAGTGCTCCTCCAATTTTGATAAGGTTGATGACTCGTGTAGTCGCGTTTCGCCCGAATTGGTTGGCGATAACGATTCGGTGTTTCTTGTCTATACGGCGATCTCCGGCGATTTTCTCTGTTGCGATCGATGCGATGCCACCTCGGGGCTCCCGCCGGTGGCGCGGGCGGCCGAGGTCGATGAACTCGCGGCTCGCCGCTGTAGGTATAGCGAGCTGGGCGATTTCTTCTCTGTTTCGCAGTGTGTTTCGTGCTCCCGCCGCTATGCTGACCCGGTGGCAGTGCTTTTCGACTTCGTGGCGGCGCGTGCTCGGTGCGAATTTCTATGTGCGCATTATTCTAAGAGCGGACGCTCTTCTATTCGTCTTCGATAATGGTTGATGGTCGATTTTTCGGTTTTCGTTCTTCGGTCGATTTTCTATTTTCGGGCGATTTTCGATCTTCGGTCGATTTTCTATCTTCGGGCGATTGTTGACGATGTTGACTTTTTCTATGGTGTTGCGCGCGTGTGTGCCGTGTAGGACCCATCCGAGCGCGGTTTTTGATGCGGCGAGCTGTTTTCGGCTTCCTCTTCGGACTTCACTGGCGATAAGGAGGTCCCAATTGTCTTGACCGATCAAAATGGTGGGACGGGCGTCTTCGTATACGAGGTGCTTTTCTATGTCTCGGAGGTGCTTGCAGTCTCGTAAGCAATGCGACTCGACCGTTTGCGATGAAATCTTCATGCGCCGAATAGTGCGCGCTTCTATGTCGAATCCCTCCGTCTGTCCCTCGATGTTGAAGGCGACTCGTCTCGATTGTGTTTCGGGCAGCTCGGCGTCTATGGTTTCGATCTGGAACTCTTCGGTTGGCCCGTCGGCGCCTATCTTCTCGGCGGCTCGCTCTTCTATTAGTGTCACGGTGGAGCCGTCGTCGAGCAGTGCGTAGGTATCGAAATGACCTCGCGGTCCGGTGATGAATACTGGAACTATCTTGAGGTACGCGTCGCGCTTGCGGCTGCTGTGTGTGCTGGCTACTCGTTCGGTTTCTATTTTTTCTATTCGATGCGGTGGCGACTCCTCTTCTTGATCGATTTTCGGTTTGAAGTGAAGTAGCGGATGATGAGTGCGTTCGCAGCCATCTCTGTTGCACGCGCGCGGCGCGCAGTTGTGTGTTCTGTTTCTGTACTGTAGGCACTTGTAGCACAGGTTGCTCTGCTTCGCTATTTCCCAGCGGCGTTCTCGATTAGCGGCCTTCAGTGTTTTGCAGTCGACCGGTGTATGCTTTAGTTCCGCGCAGACAGGGCACGGGACGTCTTCGACGTAATATCTTCTATTTCTATCTTCGATATTTTTTCTTTCTTGACCTTCTATGCTGTGTGTTCGAAATCTTCTTTGCAAAGTAGAGTGTTCTTCACTCCCGATGTATTCCGGTGGGGCGTATCTTGCGTTATTCTCTGCCTCGACTTCGATGAACTCGGCGAAAATCAATAGTTCCGGATCCGTCTTCATTTTTTCTTGCATTCGGTGATTGTTGACGTAATCGTTCCATCTGAAGCGGATAGTCGACGGCAGTTTTTCTATAATTGTCTTCATGATGTCCGGCGCACGTAGGTACTCGTTTTGCCCCAGTACTTGTAGTGCGACGACGCTATTCTTGATTTTGTTTGCAAAAATCACGATGTCCCTCGGCGAATCGGTGAGTCGGGGTAAATGGCGCAGCTTTTCTATCTCGGTTGCGGCGATGTTGTCCGGGCGGCCGAATCTGTGCTCCAATTGCTTCATAATGTCGCCCGGCGTAGTGTTGCTTATTAGCATGCTGCCCACGGCTTCTCTTGCCTTCCCCTTGAGGGCTCTTCTTAATCTTGATGAGTTTTCCGCCGACGATAGGTAGGTTGCGGATTCTAGGTACGCCGCCCTGAAGGTGAGCCATTCTGTGTGCGCGCCGCTGAAGGGTGGCAGCTCTCCGACGTAGCGTGGACCCGGTGCAGGCGGTACGGCGGCACGGACGGCGGCGTTGATTGCGACGGCCAGCTCGGAGACGTTCATTCTGTCTTGCTGGACCGGCGGTGGCGGTGGCGGCAACGTAGGGGCGACTTGTTCTTGAGCTTCATCAATACGGGACGGCGGACTCTTCTTAATGCATGGCTTCAGCGCCCCTGGGACTGGATCTTCGGCAAGTGGTGCGACGGACCCACCAATCTGTACGGTGTCCTCGACGGTCGGTCTTCTATACGGTTCGGTGGTGCCGCCGTCGGGGGTGGTGTCCTTTGTCGCTGTGTCCAGCCAGGTGATGACGCGTTCTTCATTCTCGGTGCCATGTGTGCTATCGGTTTCTCTTCTATCTTCTATTTGCGGGTCCTCTTGGTCCTCATCTTCGCTATCTTGCTCTTCCATTCGTATCTTCGCCCTTATAGTCTTCTCTAATTCTTCATATAACGCCGCCAGGCGCTTCTTCTTTGCTGCTCTTCGTGCAGCTATCTTCGATTCTGTTCGGTGTGATGTTATTGCAGCTGATGGCGACTTCGGCGGTTGGTCGTGGCGCAGCGGGTACGGTGGCCGCGTCGCGGTGTCGCTCCCTTCCGATGGCGCTCTTGACGGGGGTTGGACAGGATTCTCTCCTGCAGCGGTTCGCTCTGGCTCTTCGATGCTTCTCTCGATGCGCTCCTCTTCGGCCTGGTCCATTTTGTCAGCTTGAGATCTTGTTCGTGGCATTTTTCTTTCTTCAATCTTCTATAATTTTTCTTCAATTTTCTGTCTTCAATCTTCTATAATTGACCACGACGATCTTCTTTCTTCAATCTTCTATAATTTTTCTTCAATTCTTCCTCGGCGCTGTAGATCCGGCTCGATGCGACCAAAAAATGTACGGGACGCCGGGTACAGCTTGAATAGATGGCCGCTGAGAGGAGCTGATGTTGTCCAGAGTGAACCGCTTGATTGTTTCTTCCTGTTCCTTAGGGTAGGAGCGCCTGTCGCTGAATGCATGTCGGGGCATGTTCCGACTCGAATTTTATATGCTAGGACTGAGCTGGCCAGCGATCCACTACCTCACCCACGCTATACTTTATTTTTCATTTTCTTCAAAATTACAATAGTGCGAGCTTAAAACTAATTGTACATACATCGGGCATACATTTAGGCATATTTTTAACACAGTTATGTGTCCGTAAACACGATATTTTAGGTGTGGCGCGCAAAAAATAGGTCTCCGCAATATTTATACTTTCCCCCTCCATAGGGCTTCGCCCTGCCACGGGGCTTCGCTGCCCCACCCGCGCGCTCCGGGCGCGCCGGGTGGGGAGCGCAACATGTCTCAGAAAACGGTTCTATACAAACATGTTTTGTCTCCTACACGGTACATTTTACACTTATTGATGCGATACCTATTTATTTACGTAGCCCTACGTGTTACCTATCTAATACAACAAGTCTCTTACAAGAATATCAATAAACAACAGCTGTACGGCCCTATAAAGTTTACAAATTAAAAAGTCTCAAAAAACCTACTTATATTCACTTAATGTCTAACTATCATACACCATTTTAAAGAAGAAGTAAAAACACACAAAATAACATCATTATTATAACAATTATACCTATATCCTATTGACTATTCATAAAAAATTATTCCCAATATTTTCCTTAATTACGCTTAAACTACTAACACGATTCATACAAAACTTCGATATATTATTCCTATAACTACCTACTATCTAATAAGATATAAAATAAATCAATCAAAACATAAAACATACTATTATCGAAAATTGTCAACTCAGGCAAAATCCTATAAGACGTGAGACAAGGACAACCTATTGTCTCCGTCCCTCCTATAGGTCGGAACTATCAGTATTCTGACTAGTTTCCCCGCGCCACCGCTTGGCGTCGTGGCGATCGTTTAGATAAAGTCTTATAAGATTATTGGAGAGAACGGGGCGGAATATCGCTCTGAACTATCAATTTTACAATGGTTTACTATGGGCAGAGCTATCTATTATTGCGATATCCGACTCATTCTAATAAGACAACAAGGGAATGATATTTTTAATGCGTATACAACCGATTCATGTGAAATTATAGATACATTTTTATACATTGCTCTCGTATTGTCGTTAGTTCATTTTCTCTCGCTTCGGTCGTAAGGCGGTCGTCTCGTACATTATATGTAACTGATATTTTTTGCAGTTTAACTTTGATTACAACATCCGAAACGTTTCTATTTACAGGTGCTAACACAATTAGGTAACTCATTTTCAGCGGCCATAGCTGAAACTACCACAATGAAATCTAAGGCGGATATGAATAATGTAAGTATGTTCAGCTATTAACAATACTATAAAAAATTTATTTATAATAAGTATTGACAAGTTATTAATAAGCTCCATTTATCGAATAGAGGTTGCAAATGCATTCATTATTAATTTATAAATTAAGGTAAGGTAATAAATTTACAATGAACTTATTTGCAACCTAAACTTTTGTCTTAATCGTGGAGAACCACTTGACTCGTGTTGCGTACAATGGAAAGTCGTTCAAGTACAATCGTATTATTACTTATTTTCACACATTTATCAGTAAACTATGCAATACAGAATAGCATTGGGTAACATAGCCCACCAAATATTTGTACTAGGACAAGCTACTCAAGCTTTTTATTTTTTTATTTTACTTATCCAAGTGCCAAAAGCGGTTCATATGACATATTCCATCTTAAACAATAAAAGGATTGTATTTGCGTATCATTTTATATTATTAAGGTCCTCATTATGATTTCATAAGGGTTCTGCTTCGAAATACTTTGGTGCACCGTACGTCTTACACAACTGTACCGGGCTCACTGCTAAGCTGATGTTGCAAGATAATCACGATTTCTCAGTATTCCTCACCGATGAATACGTAGCTTCTGATTACCGGTAAGTACAATTTTAACTATTCGTTTTAATTTATAGTATAAAAATATTAACCTTCAAAAAGCAAAAGCTCTATATTTCTTATCAGTGCTGATGCTTAGTTTTTGTTAGTATTCAAAGGACATTGTTCTGCGTCCATACATAGTTAGCCTAAGAACCAACAATCATGAAATATTATTTTCTAGGTTCGAAATGCAAGTAAATGACTGTAAAAACAAAGATTATTGACGGACACTTCTGAGAACTTAAATTATTAGGAAAACTAAAATATTTTTGAGGTTATGTTTAATATTTAATGAAACATAGGTCATTAAATAAAAGTACATACTATGAACTTAGTATGAAGTGAATTAATATTACAACTAATTCATTTTATTCGGTGCGATTTTAAAGAATAACTATTAGGAAAAACTTGGTTAGGTAGGAATCATGAATAAAATAAAAACAATAGTTTTGCTTCTTATTATTTATTGATTATTTTTCACATAATTGTATCATATTGTATTTATTTGTTTAAGACATGTATATTGTGTAAATATGCAGCGTGAATGTGTATCAGGTGCGCTTGAATAATTTGGCAGTATGATCCTCTCAGGATGTTGTGGCACAGGTTCACTAGCACTTAGTAATAAGATCTCTGCACTTTGGTAACATCGATGGCATATTAGATAGCCGAAATAGAAATAGTTAAATTAAAGGAAAAACTATCGCAAATAAACACACACAACAGGTAATCCGAACGAGAATTTTCCGTATATAAAAGTACCTACTCTTTGACGAGATTGCAGGAATGCCACAGATTACTACGAATACAAACTGCCTGCACCACAACCACAGAGTATCGAGTTTATGCCGGCCCTTCACTTGAGAACAGTTTGTCCTTGTCATGCTTAATAAGGAATGAAAAGGACAGACATGTCATGTTTTTAAATAGCAAATACGAATAGCCAAGTGAAGTGCCGGCATTAGGATAAAGTGTTTTTTGTTTGCAGTGCTGTCATAGATTATACACTTAAAATGGTATTTATTGTCTCAGATTATTTATTAACTTTTTAATTTAGCTTACTAAACTGGAAGTGTCCGTCACAATCTAAATACTGATAATTATCGCCAAAAATATACTAAGAATTATCATAAATGCCAAATTGGTGTTGGTTCTTAGGCCAATTTTAACATTGTCCTTTAATTAAAAAAGTGTCTATCATTTTTTTATTGAAATATTTAAAATTACTGTAAAAATCATTTTTTTAAGCATTTAAGTGCCAGATGTTTACATCTTAAGAAAAGTTTACTAGAAAAAATTCTACGCGGACCAGGCAGCAGACGGGACTCGAACCCGTACCCTTTGCTTTCCGGACGAATGCACTGACCATTATGCTACCGTGGCCCTGACGGCCACGTCGAATTTTCTCTAGCCTTATGCTTCAAGTCAGCCCCATCTCTTCGCATTGTAGGTAACCCACAATGTCAAATGAAATACTTTTACAAGTATTAAACATTTATTTTTACTGTAAAGTATTATTAATGAACACATGAAGATTGTATTTGCCAATCTGCCGTAACGGGGATTTTATTTACAGTGAAGTGGTACTGGAATCTGGTGCTAGCGTTCCTCTGCAGTTAAAACACGGTGGCCTCAACTTGATGAAACTCAATGAGCCACCACCGCCTCTTAAATTAAACGTTCAGGTATGTACTTCTTTTACTTTACTTTTATTTAGGCCGCGTTGTTTCATCCATAGTTAAATATTACTATAGTTAAAATACTAGACAACATATAACTATTTGTTAAAATTTTACTCATCTACTATGTATTTGACGTGACATTAACTATAGTCAAATTTAACGAAACAACTTGACCTTAGTGTTTAAGTGGTATACAACTATTAAAGACGTACATATCAGGCAGTAGATACATATAGACGCTCGGGCGTTGGTACATTAAAATATTGGTATTGGTAGGGTTTAGAACCAAGGTACTTCACATGTCTATTCTTATTGGCTATTAATTAAAAAAATATTTGCTATTAATTGTCATTTTGACAGCAGGTTGTTCAAACAAAGAGAAAACAAAAATATGCAAAAATGTAAACAAACGTTGCTCTTGTCGTTTCTATAGTATTATTTTGTCGAGTACTGAGAATGCAAATGGGCCATAGAAGAAATAATAAATTATCCGATGTATTTGTAGATAGTAGAAATGAATGAAGAAGTCCGTATACCGGTAGAACGTGCGGACAAACGTTACTTCACTTTGGGCCGGAAGCAACCTGGAGGCAGTTTAGAGAAGAATGTACCGCATGTAGCAGCCGCGGAACCTAGAGGACTCATATCCGACATCGTTATGCAGGAAGCGGCGCTGCAAATCTACCTCAGGAGCATTGTACAGGTTTGTGGTATAGTTGAATGAACTTTGACCGCGCTTTCGATCGTCCTTTACTTCACTTTCGGCCGGAAGCAACTAGGTAGCAGTTCAAAGAATAATGTACCGCATGTAGCAGCCATGGAATCTAGAGGACTCACATACTCACATCCGACAACGTCATGCAGGCAGCGGAGTTGCAAATCTACCTCAGGAGCATTGTACAGGTTTGTGGTATAGTTGAATTGACTGATCGCGGTTTCGATCGTCCTTTATTTTACTTTTGGCCGGAAGCAACCAGATAGCAGTTTAAAGAAGAATGTATCGCATGTAGCAGTAGCGGAGCCTAGTGGACTCATATTCGACATCGTTATGCAGGAAGCGGCGTTGCAAATCTACCTTAAGAGCATTGTACAGGTTTGTGGTATAGTTGAATTAACTTTGACCGCGCTTTCCATCATCCTTTAAGTCACTTTTGACCGAAAACAACCAGGTAGCATTCTAAAGAAGAATGTACTGCATGTAGCAGCCACGGAATCTAGAGCACTCACATACTCACATCTGACATCGTTATGCAGGAAGCGGCGATGCAAATCTACCTCAGGAGCATTGTACAGGTTTGTGGTATAATTGAATTGACTGACCGCACTTACGATCGTCCTTTACTTCACTTTTGGCCGGAAGCAACCTGGTAGTCTAGAGATGAATGTACCGCATGTAGCAGTCGCGGAACCTAGAGGACTCATATCCGACATCGTTATGCAGGAAGTGGCTTTGCACATCTACTTATACATATTTTTATTGACGTTAATTTCGTGATTTTGATCGTAACGACTTTAAATATCCCTAGGCAACCTTATTTAGGGGTATTATAAATACAAAAAATTTACAGGCACACTAATAAGTAATCTTTTCTGAGCACCTTGCAGAGTATATTTTTAACGTTTATCACGCAATCTTCATGCGAAGAGTGAAGATAGATATGACAATAGGATTGGCTGCGATATTCAAATAAATACATTGTGTGACATTGCGCAAGTTGCTTAACTTAGAAGATCGTAAACTGAATAACGATAGCCGATACTTTATCGAGCTCCTTATCCTCGATGTCTTCTTAGAATAAGTATAATGGTTAATATTTTTTTTCTTCCTTAGGTCACCAATACGCTGTCGGTGAACGTGTCAGTGTATTACATGACGCTGAGCGGTAACGAAGTGCGGTTATTGGGCGAGGTGAAGCCGTCTGGTGTTATGAGGCTGCCACTGCAAGCAGTCCACACCCCCACTGCGGAGATATTCTTCTCGGTCGAAGGTGAGGCGGTACTATTTCCACACGAACAAAGAAGTTTGGTGACTCATTCCTTTGTCGTACTATTCGCAAGTGGAATGCCTTGCCCGCGCTCGTGTTCCCCCCTTCCTACAATCTTAAGTCCTTTAAGAGAGGCGTGAAGAAGCATTTGTGCAGGCTGGCACGGTGAGGATGGTTGGTGTGGCAGTTTAAAACTGCTGTACCAGCTATGTTCGCGTTGGATTTTATCACCACTTAACATCAGGCGTGATGAGGCTGCCACTGCAAGCAGTCCACTCCCACTCACACTCCCACTGCGGGGATATTCTTCTCGGTCGAAGGTGAAGCGGTCCTATTGTCGTCCGGCGTTATAAGGCCGGCACTGCAAGCCGTCGCACTAAAAAAATTAACACAATCGTTTAGGTTAGCTTAGCCCCGATATACACACTGTAAAGCTGGTGTTATAGGATACTTGGTTAACGGATAAAAATACATATTATAATGATTATCTATATATATAAAAGAAAGTCGTGTTAGTTACACCACTTATAACTCAAGAACGGCAGAACAGATTTGGGTGAAAGTTGGTAGGGAGGTAGCTTAGAGCCAGGAGACGGACATAAAATACTTTTTATCCCGTTCGACAGCGTTCCCGTGTGACTTGACATGAAACGTCAGTCAATTTTTACCAGGTTTATGTTTTTAACCATGTAATAACTGCGCTCAGTTTCTGTACCTATTAAATTACTACATAGTATAAAGCAAAGTCGCTTCCCGCTGTCTGTCCCTATGTCCCTACGTATGCTTAGATCTTTATGCGGATATTGATGCGGTTTTTTTTAATAGATAGAGTGATTCAAGAGGAATGTTTATATGTATAATACATGCATAAAATAGTAGAGAAACACTGATAATTTTAGAGGTTTTTAATGTAAGGTTGTATATAAACACATTTTTTTGCGCTTACGTTGCAAACGCTGGCTGAACCCTTCGAGATAGATCAAAATAACGTACTACAGTATTTTACACCTTAAAAATGAGCGATTCCGACGCTACCGGGCGGGGGGCCTGGCGGCGCGTGCCTATTAAAATTAGGTATTAGAAGAATGTCATTTTGTATAATACAAGCCTGAGAACAAAAACTATAGTCTACACTACAGCTCTACACCGAAGCGAAGCGAGGCGGGCCACTAGTATAGAAATAAAATGACAAATATTCTCAATTGATTGTAAATCTTGAAATAAAACAATATAAAACTTAGTTTTCCAAATGTCATCAGTAACTCAGTTGGAGTAATAGCTGAGTTTTGCTGTTAACTTTACAGGAATAAATGATTACAAGCTACTTTTTTTATTTATTTTGTTTGTATTACATCAGGTTTTACCGTATCCGTGTCTCCGTTTATATGGCGCGAGCTTCAGCAGGAGGTTAGGATATCGAAGCTGCTCCAGTGCGACTCGAAAGACAAACTCAGTGGCGAAAAGTTTTACTTAAAGGTATCGCTGTTACATATTTGCATCCCGTGGTCTGTGTAAGCAAAATGGCCGTCAAAACCTCTGTTATATTTTGAGCTCTACTGAACCTATTGTCTTCATTTATGTCTTAAATCGATCTTAAATATTTTCTGCATCTATTTCTATTTATCTATATTATATCTAAATTTTGTATTATGATATTGCGTGGCAGAAATCCGCCACTTCCACAGACAGGGTTGTTTGATGTCGGCAAAAATCATCCATTTACACAGACCACGGGATATTATATTACAATATGATGCTAGCTAGCGATAATACCAATAGCCGTGTTAACTGACTATTCTTATTTGCTTTTTGTCATTTTGACAGAAAGTTGTACTTTTCATGCTCTGTAGGTAGGGAGTGAAAAGAAGAAATTGTCGTGAAGTTTACAAATTTATTTATTATATTAATTTAATGGTTTACTCTAAGCTAATAAATGATTTTGCTTACATACTTTTGTTAGTATTTAAACAAATAATACCACTAATAGAATTAATAACGGCATTGTACTTTTTCATGTGGTAATTACTGTGAAAAGACAACCAATCAGTACTCTAATACCTAGCCCCATCCCTCTTAATAATAAACGAGGAATAAGCTAAGACTAGTTACGCCGTATTTTGTTCATATTACTCAAGTGCCATTTGTAATTCAATGAACAGGGACAAAACTAGAGTACCTAATCCAAGCTTGTTCTTCGTTTATTAATAAGGGCGTATAAATTTATAAAATCGTGCTGTAAAATATGGTTTAATTTTAAATTTTTTCTATTCATTCCACCTTTTTAAATTATTGTCCTAACTTCGTACTTTATAATGTGGTGTGTTTAATAAAGAATTATCTATCTATCTATCTATTCTGCACCAGGCTGTAGGTACAATGGAACAAGTTTTCTACGAGCATTCCAACAGGCATACGTTCGCTTCGTCATGCTATGATATAGTCCTGAAACCAGCGGTGAAACTGCAAAATTGTTTGCCCGTTGACATAGTGGTCTCGCAACTAGGACTGCAGCGGACGCAGACGTTCAAACCAGGAGAGATGTTCCATTTGTCGCATCTCGCCCCTAACAAAGCTTCTGTCGTTATAATGGTAAGTTAATGAACTTTAAAATTAAAATTTAGTCAACTAAACAGAAAGTACAGTGGATTTCGGGTATAAATACGATGAAGGGATCGCTCTATTTTCGTCGTTATATCCGGAAGCCGTTACAGGCAAAGTTAGGGATACAGACACATGTATAGTTTATATCTTTATATATATAATTCTTCTGTGAGTGTGTATGTCACTGAACTTCTCTTAAACGACTGGACCGATTTTGATGAAATTTTTTGTGTGTGTTCAAGGGGATCTGAGAATGGTTTAGATTCACAATTTTGTCCGCTGGACAACCCCTATTTTTTTAGGGCGGTACGAAGTTCGCTGGGTCAGCTAGTTCATCTATAAATGACTTTCGCCTTTTCTTGAATAGTGAATGTGTGTCTAGCAGCCATACTTATTCAAAAGATTACTAAACCCAGTTCCTACTCAGAATCTCACTATGAACTGAACCATAAATTTAACTGGGAACCGTACACGATTCCTTACCTACTTAGCTGATATCTATAAAGAAAAGGTAATAGTCTCCACACATGCTGGCCATCTGTGTGGATGTAAACAAAAGATAAGAAATGTTTGTGAAAGAAAGAAATCTTTGTGTCTTTGGCGGCCGACATTATACCCGAACTCAGCGTTACATCCAAAGTCGTTATAGCCACATGAATTTTGTACTAAAGTATGCTTTAAATTCAAGGGATTTAGATTTAATGACGCTATAGGTAAATGGTCGCTCTAACCAAGGTCGTAATAAGTGAAATTCACTGTATTTTCAACCCGTGTCCCCATCCTGAAGGGGATAGACAGATGATCTGAAATAGAAATAGCAATAAGCAATATTTTCGGTTTAGAACATTCGTTTCGGATCTAAACATGGACAAAGCAAAACAGGTTCTTTGTTCTATTTTGTTGATAGGTACTTACTAGGCTTATGCATGAATTGTAGGCATTTTGCTTTCATAAATTTTGTATTTAATATCCATGATTTTACGGTTTGGATATTGTTTGCATTTGTATATCTATTAAAAATACTAGATAGAATATAAAAGTAATCAAAAATAATGTAATAAAATTGTTTTAGATATAATAATAGAGGAGCTCGATGGCGCAGGTGGTTAGCGCGTTCGGCTGCGATCGTTGTAGTTAAGCAACTTTCGCAGTGGTCGGTCACTGGATGGGTGACCACAATTTTCTATCTCGAGTTCCTCCGTGCTTCGGAAGGCACGTTAAGCCGTTGGTCCCGGTTGCATCTGCAGTCGTTAGCACCCGCCAATCCGCACTGGGCCCGCGTGGTGGGTCATGGCCCAATCTCCCTATTCCATCCATAGGGAAGGCCTGTGCCCCAGCAGTGGGGACATTAAGAGGCTGATGATGATGATGATGATGATGAGATATAATAATTGCAATGGTTTATATTAAAAAAAAAATACAATTCACGGTCTTTTTAATATAAATTGTGATTATATAAGTAACTTTTTTGTCACTAACTTTAAGTTGCATTATTCTACAATTATTTTTATATTATTACATATATATTATTAGAATATGAGGAGCTCGATGGCGTAAAAGTGGTTAGCGCGTTCGGTTGGGATCGTTGAAGTTAAGCAACTTTCCCAGTTGTCGGTCATTGGATGGGTGACCAGAAATGTACTATCTCGAGTTCCTCCGTGCTTCGGAAGGCACGTTAAGCTGTTGGTCCCGGCCGCATCTCTGCAGTCGTTAGCACCCACCAATCCTCACTGGGCACGCGTGGTGGGTCATGGCCCAATTTCCCTATTCTGTCCATAGGGAAGGCCCCTGCCCCAGTAGTGGGGATATTAATAGGCTGATGATGATGATGATTATTATTAGTATGCATGTTAAACGGCAGATACAAAACTACCTGGACAAATGCTGGGTGTGCACAAAGAACTTACCCGACTCAGACTCAGAGTTGTCGGTGTGGACGTTCGATTCTCATGACAGTCCTTCAGTGATGAATCTAGACCTTGGAATGCACAATGTGGACTCGGAGGGAACGCAGATGCTCTCACTGTATTGTCCCTTCTGGATGCTCAACAAGACCGGATTCACGCTTTGCTATAGGGTAAGTTGTTGAAAAACCTGAAAAAAAATACGAATTTAAGATGAGCTAATTTATAGTGTATTCACTGCACCGAGATGTATAATTTAAACTAAAAGGAAGATTATAAAAAACATGTTGATCATCTTAAGGCATCTAGATATAATGTTTTACAATGTTTGCTACATTTTTATTCGTTTGCATAATTTGTAAGTGTACTTGGCTTTTATTAGGAGGTTCGTTTCGATATAATAATTTAGTTCTGAAGAAACTGTATTTATATGTCAAATATTTAAAAGTTAAGACCAAGATGAAACTACTGACGAGGAAAATCTTTATAAGGTCGTATTTTATTTATGTTTGATTCTATTTTAATTCAACTCTTTCGTAAAATCCTACTATTATATTATTACATTTATAATAGTAGGATACAATAGTAGGATAACAAACATACAAACGTATGTTTGTTACTAATCACGCAAAAACGACTGAAAGGATTTGGATGAAATTTTGTACACAGACAGTTTCCAACCTGGAAAGAGACATAGAATACTTTTTTATCCCGCAAAAGTGTTAGGTTCTTAAGGGATTTTAAAAAAAATGTTAACGCGGACGAAGTCGCGGACGGCCGCTAGTTATTAAATAATCTTGTAATAAATCCATTTTTTTGTTTAAATTAATTATCTTGTAAGAATAATAATAAGAAAACACTATATATTAGAACGTTTTACTATGTCCAAAGCTGGTCAGTTCCCTGGTAAACTTGTGTCTGTTACTTTGATTAAAAGGTTTGGATGTTATATTATTATTATATATAGGTAATAGCGTACTTTTGATCAAGAATATCCGAATTAGTAGTCTATAATATCCCCAAAGTACTGATCACGATCATGGTATTAATAAATTAAAACACAATTGGCCGTACATATCTCATTCCGTGATTGCAGAAATCAAAGAAACCAGAAAAAAACTGCAGCACTCCCAACAAGGTACCCTCGAGATGATACGATGTTCTTTCATAGAATCTCACATCAATTTATTTTTGCTACCTCTCGTTTTTATTTTCTATTGCGTTGCTGTTAACATCCAAAAATGCATCATTATTAATTTTATACATGGTATATTTTTTTGTCAAAAGAAAAAATATTGCGTGTTCTACTGATCGACATTAAGAATATTTTATTGGTTCCACAGAAGTAAAAGGTTAAACATCGGCAAAAAAAAAACGGCTATTCATTTGAGCTTAATTAACAAGCTTCGTCTCAAAGTAATTGTTATAGGATTTTTTGTTTTCAACTTTGTACATGACATTCTTATTTAGAGCATGCGCAGTGGGGTCATAGAATAATCCATTTTATCAACAGTATTGTTAGGTAATATTACTGAAGCGATTAGCTACAATATATGTTATTTTATATCCGTAATACATGATCTGTTAATGTGACTGCCGCAACACGATATGATAAAGTTTATAGACATTTTACTGTCAAAATTTAGCAAATTTTGACTGTTGGGTTAAACAATGACTATCACTGTGTTGCGGTGGTAATGCTACAGATGCTGGTCTCGATTCCAGATAAAATATTCATGTTGCCGTAAATTTATTAGGCGACATACGTCATGTTTGCCGGTAAGTGTTAGCAAATTTTACACAAAGATGGTTGCACATAAAGGGGATAATCGTACCTGTACAGCAGTACATGAACACATGTAAAAAGCCTTATTTTGGGACCTGTAAAAAACAATGCATGTTAAAGTAGGTTATGTTAGCTTTTTGTGTGCTATGGCGATGTTTCTGTGCCAGTGAATATTATGTTTCGTGAACTTTTATTTAAAGTCTATATATAGCTTTTACAAGCTACTGTAATAGCTCAATAGCAGGTCTCAATAGTACCTTTACAAAGGGTGATTATTTTGTAAATCTTAAACTAATCTGGTCTTTTCCGAATGAGTAGGTGATGTAACCTAGTAAATAAGATAAAGAATAGCAACTCCATAGTATTAAGCGAATCGCACACGTACCAGTGTTTTGGGTATTGACCGCCGATAGAATTTTAAGGCGGATTCCACGCCCGCGTGGGCCCATGTCTGCGTGAACCTACTTCGTTTCTATAGAGCTGCATTTCTGTCAAATTTTTGAGTACATGGTGTACGAATGTACATAAACAGTCTTATTCATAAATAGTTATTTATGCAACTGTTGTATAATACGAGGTATTAAAACACGACTGTGGGTTTATGATAACATTATCACATGAGAATTTTAATACCTAATTATAAAAGTTGCATACAAGATTTTATCTACACCCACCCCCTGCAAAGGATTTTCAAACAATGAGGCGTTCTAAGAACTTGAAATTCATGAAAAGTTTCGGCGATGTGGTAGTGAAGCGCGCGTGATCACAATGTTCTTTTTTGAAATTCATACAATACACAGCAAGCAAACAATGAACAAAACACAAGTATTTTTTACAACAACGCAATACCACTGAACCATAGATTAAATTAAAAAGGGAAGATACGGCACTTGCGGCTCAAAAGTGATCCGCTTAAATTGTGGTGCGTGACTACAATTCGCTTTAGTCCAGTCGCGAACCATGTGTACTCAATATAACAATATTGCGTATATTATAAGTTATAAAGATAAAACAATGCCTTCGATGCTTTTATAAAGAACACAAATAGTTCAAAATCAAATAACAATTGCCTCGGCAATACTTTTCATTCGTAAAACTGTAAAAACATTTTTTAAAACAAACAAAACACGATTTGTTGTGAATGTTATTTACGTAATCACCATTTTGTTATCAAGAAAAGGAAAACAATACAGATCAGTCGTATGGACTCGGAAACGGACTCGCGGTTTCGCTCGCATTGCGTTGAAGCGTACAGCTCTGTCTCGCTCGCTCGATTGAATATTTATATACAGACGTGTGCATGTGTGAGAGTTGCTTATGTAGTTGAGTCGGATCATATTTTATTTGATGCTAGTATGAGCGTGCCGTATCTTCCATTTTTGTCTTAATCTAAGCACGAAACCAGCAAAATAATCACCATAGAACACGAAACAAAATAACCTCACTTCAATCAGCTGTTATACAAAGTCGGCCATCTTTTTAATTTAGGGTTTTTATGGTACCCTACCATCATCCTACTATAGGTCATACATAAAGACGGTAATTGAACAGTTATAGAGCGTTTTAGCGTTATTGGAGGTTTATGAATAATATTTTTGAAGGACTATCATATAAGATATTTGACGACCTCCGTGGCCGAGTGGTTTATACGCCGGGTTTCATGGTGACGTCGACTCGAGAGGTCCCCGGTTCGAATCTCGGTGTGGGCATAGGCTAATTAGTGTGTGTTTAAAAATAATTTAATATAGCTATGTATATTTATGAATAAGAACGAAAGTATATAAAGTTGTTGATTATTGGTTCCATAATGTCTACATACAATAGAAGAGAATAGTTTTAGCATTCAGAATCTATATGAGATGCGGTAGCAACTAGTAATTACGGTAGTTGATTTCGCGTATATTTATAAGCTTAAGATATTAAGCGTAAGATATTATTAGATTAGATATTATTTTATAATAAATAAAACAGGCTTTACATTGATAGTACCTTCAGTATTTGACATGGTTTTTGACCGACTTCAAATATGTAGTTCAAGGAGGGTGTTCTTTCTATATTCGGCATGAATGTCGCCGTAGGTTTTTTTTTGTCTTGTTTGTGTTATGATGATAATAATCGTTTATGTTTGTTTTATCATGAATTTGCTACAATATATGATCAACTTAGTTGATTAATAAATAAAAAGCTTTATGTCAAATTGGTAAGCGCATTCGGTTTGCGGTTGCAGAGCTAAAGCTAAATCCCGGGTGGCCAATATCTTTTCATCTTGAACTTGTATGTGTATCGATGTACGGCACATTTTTTTATGCATTTTCGATCAAAGGCAGACCTCTGCCTACATCAAACCAGAGGGGACATAAACACGCTCATGTCCTTTGTTTTCTTATTTATTATGAATATTTTTTTCGTTGTAAAAATGGATTACGTCCTTAAATATTTAGCTGGATAGTGATATATATCTAGTTTTTTTATTATTTTAAACAGGGTAGTGATAATACTTAAATAAATGTATGTACACAACTCTTTTTTGTAAAATGAACACTAATTATGGTTCGGTGGATTATAATGACCCTACTGATTTTATTCTACTCGTATTTTCAACTATTTCGTATTATAATTTTGCAGTGGTATAATATCCTTATTAAAAATAATTTGCATGTCACATCATCGCATGTAAAGTTTCATATTATTATATTTTTTGTTATTTAAATATATTGATATCTATTTCCTTACTACCTTTATCCATGGTACTTCAAAGCTTTTCAATAATCTTACATATGCCTCACCTTAAAGCATTGTTTAGCTTTAAAATTAGGGCCTTTATTTTGATAATATTTGCTCAAGTTGGTATTTTGCTGTTTTGGGCTCAAATTCCTTGAGCTTGATCTATAATAAACATACAAAGTAACGAGTTCGAGCACATATGATTATCTTCTAATAATGGCAAACCGAGTTAACAAATTCTTTAAGAATACATCACTAAATTTACTCTTTCATGAATTACCTATCAATAACTTTTTACTTTTTAGTTAGCAAAATCGAGGCCCATGGGTTTAATGCACTATACAAAAAGTTGCAGCAAGCTTCGCGGTGAGGATCTAACATGCAAACATACTGAGAAACAGTAATTTATTAGCAGCCTAAAAACTTTTCAGAACGTCGACGAGACTGGCAACGTAATATTCCATCCCAAGGATTACAAGGAGCCCGTATTGTTTTCGTTCCGAGCTAAAAACTTTTTCGGCAAAAAGAAGGCTGCCATTAGAATCGAGTTCGGCGAATGGTCCGATAAGTTTTCGCTTGACGTGCCCGGGAGCTCTGGTGTGGTTATATGCAAATATGAGGGTAGAACATACCAGGTGAGATAAGAAAGAAATAATATTTACAAGATTTACAGAAATAAAATAAAGTAGAAATGTAAAAGATCCATTTACTGATTATGTTTTCCTCTTCAAAGGAGTTAAGTTATTATGATACTTTGGAATAAATTTTAATTGCAGCCAACGTATCTTTCGTAGGTGGCGGTGACGAATCAACTAACGTTTAACAGCTTAACGAAAATGGTGGTATTCACGCCGTTTTTCCTCATAATCAATGAGGCGCCATTTGCGATACAGTACCAAGAACTCCACAGACCTGGTGATGCTTGGAGAGAGGTAAGAGATAAGTTAATTATTCTATCATTTGTATACCTTGTTTAGTTTTTATCACTATTTTTTTTCAGAAATAAGAGTTGAGTATACCTGTAACTGTTTTTGCATACATTATATTTTTTAATTATGTTGGGTGTAAAAATGTTGGCATCCCAAATAAATTAATTAATAAATACCCAAGTGAAAGTATCTGAAAGAGGATATTCAGTATTGTCTACTATGAATGATATGTATTAAAATGTTTAGGATTTACCAAAATAAAAAAGATTATCAACTATTTGTTGTGATTGTATACAGTAGTGTTAGTTATTAATCATATAATGCTGATCTGTGCACTCTTCTTTTGAACCCTTTTTTGTGTTTGCATGTTTGATTTAAGTATCGTAACGTGATATTGTTAAAAGTATATTTTTAAACTTAATTATGATATCTTCTTTCTGTATGTAAATAAATGAACAATTTAGAAATGATAAATGCATAAAGTAGACAATCTTAAAGTGATTTATATTACATAAAGATTCCGTGCCGTAATATTATCACAAGGTACCACTATCGTTTGTGTGATAACTTATAACTTAAACAGGTGGAGAATAAGTCGAGTGCGCCTCTATGGCCGGTCGTAGAGAAGGAAGACAAGCTTTTACTGCTGCGCGTGTCTGGCTCTACTGATCACGGGGCGCCATTCCTCTACACCGAACAAAATAGCGTGTGTCTGAAGCTCAACAACGAAGTGAGTTCAACTTGATTATATCTTTGTATTGTAACAATACCTAACAGGTGGAAAATAACTCGAGTTTTAAAAGAAACATTTGTAGTGCCGTCTCGCATTTATTATTTAATGTGTTTTCGTTCCGTAAGAATTCTGAACTTTGTTTCCGGTTTAGTATATTCGATTTCTTCTATTTAAGATTTAAACAACATAACCAATGATTAGGAGTTTAATTATCCCATTTTCTATCAGTTCTTACGTTATACGAAACATATTTGTATCCAACGTGTGCCTTATGCCGGCACTTCACTTGGCTATTCGTGTTTGCTTTTTTGTTAATTTTATAAGGAATGGAAAGGACAGACTGATGTCAAGTATACAAACAGTAAACAGGAATAGCCAATTGCATCGTAGGCATTACATAACAGTATATTTGTTTTAGTACGGTGGGCTTCACGTAGAGGTGCAGTTGAGTGAAGGCGGCACTTACATAATGGTGCGTCAGTATCGCGATGGTCACGCGCCCGCATTGCTCGTCAACTTCACGCAACTCGCCGTCACCGTCTACGAGAAGGAAAACGTCAACGTCAAGTGAGATGCTACATTATTATTTTTGTATCAATAAGTTTCTTAGGTAACTCGGGATACTTTGGCGTATTGGCAACAGCTGTGTACGGAAACAAGCTAGTACCGATTTTTCTGTTATTGGCCGGTGTATCGATGCTAGGACTGTGTAACCGTTACTGCGGTTGATAGTAGGCGTCGACCTTTAAGGTTCTAAACAACTATCTGGATTAATTTTGCCAATTCTCAATTTAGTTTATTTATTAGCCAGATTTTACACTAACTTTTTAGTAAACACCAGGAAGTTATACTTTTACTTTCACCAGATGGTGAATAAGTACATAATAATGAAAACTCCTCGCATGCTTAATGGAATGTGAATGAACCTCGTAGTTTTTTAGGCCGACATTAAATAATGTTCAACCAGAGGCTTGAGTTTGCACAATTTTTAGAGTTCCGTACCTCGGAAGAAAAAAAACGGAACCCTGATAGGATCACTTTGTTGTCTGTCTCAGGTACGCGTGGAGGTAGCAAGCTGAAATTTATATCAAATAATCAGGTCTACTGTACCTTGGAGCTGTGAAAAAATCAAACTTCTAAGCCAACGCAATCAAAAGATTCAGTCGGAAATTTTCGAAACTTGCAAGGGAATCAAAACCTATTGTCAGATATATAATAATACAGATTTTTTTGATATCGATTTTCATTTTGCCAAAAAGTATTCCACGATTTTTAATATATATTTTTTTCAATTCATCGAATTTTAATCATCACTGTTTCAAATCGAAAAACGTTTCTTAAAAAAAATATAAAAGTGTTTTGATTACCAGAAAAAAGGTTATATCGAACTTGTATTTCGTAAATGTATTGCGGTCAGTTCTATAATATTTTTTTCCTACATACTACAGCTTAATAATTATACTCGTAACTACATACTGCGTGTTGACAATATTAGTTAAAATGTGTGACTAAATATGTTGTTGTCTCGCGGGCCGCCTCGTGGTAAGACTGTTTTTCTAGGGCCCAAGATGTGATACATGATTTTTTTAGTAGCAAAGGTCTCTTTAAAAAAAAATCTGGCTCGCGCGTTATGGTCACAACACTAACCTAACCTAACCTAGTGTGAAATATCACCACTTGGACCCTGGAAGTACAGTTTAGCCCGCCTCGCCCCTCCGCGACTACGCGCGTTTAAATTGGACCCTAGGGGTAGGGCAGATAAGACTACGTGGAGTCGGGGTAAACTGAGTCATTATAAATATTTTTTTTACTCTAAAAAGACATCATGAAATCCTATTTTCGATGTACATTGATTTTTTGAAGTAAAAATGTTGATGTTTCCATTTTTTGCAAACTGAAACTTACGATGAAACAAAAATATGGGTAACAAAACTTCGATGTAACACTATTTCGATAAAATGTATAAAACATGAAAAGAAATAACGATGAACTGTGTTTGTAGATAATAAATATTCGAGGAAACGAAAATGCGATGTAACCTCATTCTAGGTTTTGTTAAGTATTGAAAAAAAGTTCTGGGATCGTTTTATGGGTAATGAAAATCTTTGAAAGTAATTGCGATAAAATGATGGATTCCCAAATAAAATAAAATTGTGTTAGCACAAAATTTTGTCTGTATATTTCAGTATTTCATAAAGTGTGCGATTTGTCTTACAACATGCATTGTTAACATGGGTTTTAATGTTTTACTAGAAAAATACCACCCATGAATAAGATGTTATTTACTTGGGATAATCCAGCGGGACCACGAGTGCTTATATTCGAAAGCCACAAGAGGAAAGAAATCGAAAACGACCTAAGGCAAGATGGAATTGGCGAATTTGCGTAAGTATACATTCTTAAATGCATGGATTTTTAAATACTTATTTGTACACGGAGTAGACGAGGATTCAAATTGTTACAAGTTCATTGAGGTCTTCTCCGAACCAAGCTTTAAATGCAATATTTATTTATTTATTTAATTGATTTAGAGGCGAATAGCGTTTTGCTGATATGCCTTTATCATGTATTGTTGAAATATCTCATTGTTTAATTTTGTCTGTCAACATTACCTTCTCTTTGCTTTATCCATTTCAGTATATTTTAGTTCTTAAATTCATTTATTGATTTGAGACTAGTTTGTCAGGTAATCTGTTCTAATTGTAAACAATTTTGTTGTCTAGAATATGGTGTACACTGTTTGATTATGTGGAAAGTTATATATGTTTGATTTTTATACTCGTAAATTTTCTGCTCGTGGTTTGTCAGTCCTAAGGACTAAATAAAAAAAAATCTGTTTTGCACAATTAATGCTTAAAAACATATAATTATTTATTTCGCCATATTAACATACATTTGAAACGTTTTATTACATTAAATGAAACAAGTTTTAACGGGTTAGATACACTGATTTTATTTATTTATTGACGTTTCTTAAAGTAAATAAAAAATCATTATTCTGACAACGCATTCCTGCAAAGGGTGCGAAACGTCAATAAATAAATAAAATCAGTGCATCTAACCTGTTGAAACTTGTTGAAGTTATACTTCTTTAGGCGCGTTATGAAAAAATGATGAGAGTGAAATTTTTAGATGCGCGCGCATCACTGTAACCCAAAAGTAACAGCATGAAGTTGGCCGCGGGCGCGTTATGAATAAATCATGTGAGTGAAATTTCGAGATGCGCGCGCATCACTGTAACACAATAGTAACACCATGAAGTTGGCCGCGGGCGCGTTATGAATGTTAGTGTCTAATAATGGTGGATTATTAACCACTTAGTGGTTGGTTAATAATCCACCATTATTAGACATCTGTTCGAAAGGTACTTTGAACGATCCACGGAGCTCCATAAGATGATCGCGTTGTCAAAAACAATGTTGGCACGCTCGTCGCCTCTGAGCACTGTTTTCATATTTATAATATTTATCCACATGTTTCTAGTTTCTATATAGACACAACGTGTTTTAGTTACTTACAAGTTCTAATTACATATGGACTAATAACTTAAATTCAGTAGTGATTTTAATTGAATATTTTGAATATATATTTAATTTATTTGTTTCTTAGGTTTTCACGCACATCACTCATTAAATAAAACTAGTTTAAACGGGATAATGCACGAAACTTTATTGATTTATTGACGTTTCGTAGCCTTTCCAGGCTTCGTCGTCAGAAAGTCGTCTGACGACGAAGCCTGGAAAGGCTACGAAACGTCAATAAATAAATAAAGTTTCGTGCATTATCCCGTTTAAACTAGTTTTATTTATATTTAATTTTTCAAATTAAAACTGAACTTAATTGACTGTGTTAACTATCCTTTTCCAGTCCTTTTATTATTTTATTGTAATTATTAATTATTTGCATGCAATTAAAAATATTTTTAATGATGCTAAAGAAGTATAACTTCTCACGCGCGTACATAAGTTACACGCATCCATTTTTTTTATTTAATGAGTAATGTGCGAGTAAACCTAAGATATAAATATGTTTTATTACATTACAATGTAACATTTTAGCATAAACGAAACGAAGAAGATATCATGGGTGTCTTTCCTTGACGGATTACAAAGGGTGGTGCTATTTACCGACGATCCGATTCTAGCGAGCGGCGCTCACACCATAGGCGAGGCGGAAATGGTGGACACTGAGATATTGCTTTCGATGCAGGGCATGGGACTCTCGCTGGTCAACGACCCCGAGCTCTTGGAGATTGTCTACATCAGCATATCGCAGTACGTAGACAGAAGTGTACCTTATTGATGTGAAATTAAAGAGAATTAGGCCTGATTCTTACTGATTCATCATCACCAGCCTGTCCCCACTGCTGGGGCACAGGCCTTCCCTACGAATGGAATAGGGAGTTTTGGGCCATGACACACCACGCGGGCCCAGTGCGGATTGGTGTGTGCTAACGACTGCAGATGCAGCCGGGACCAACGGCTTATCGCAGTTTATTCTATGGGTACTACAAAACTGGTATAACAAACAGCCATAACCCGGTAACAATTATCTGTGTTATTGAATGATATGTTATTTCAAACTGATAGGTGTGTATATGTAAAGGTTTTTTTTATTTGTGTACGTACTTTTATTAAATCAACAAAAGTTTAATTTCTTGAACTATGACAATATGTATACTATTTGTCTCTTACAAACATACTGGTTGACTGGTAGAGAATGCCTATGGCATTAAGTCCGCCGTTTGCTTATGTTTAGCAATAAAGTTTAATAAATAAAATAAATAAAATAAATAAATAATATGATTCACTATTTTAGTAAAAAAACGCTTCACTTTTGTAGCTCCGGTATTATATGGGAGCAATGTAAAATTGGTGCTCGGCGGTACAAAAAGATCGAAGGTGCTAAGTCGCTACAACTCGAGGACGCTTACCAAACCTATCTTACCGAGAAAATGGTGGGCGAGACAGAGTCAGCGCGAGTGATCATCGACGAGAAGATTGAAGTACGTTCTTCCTTTTTGTGAATATAACCTGTGCCTTTTTTAAACCTAGAGAAATGCTTGATATATAATCCTGTCGCTGGGTAAGGAGTTATAAATAATAAAATTTTCAACACTCACACCAACCGGGATTCGAACCCGGGACCTCTCGAGTCGGCGACACCATAAAACCCGGCGTACAAACCACTTGGCCACGGAGGTCGTCAGTTATGTGGGACTCTGCCGCAAGCCTAACCACTAAAACTCTGTGAGGCATCCTTGCCAGCAGCGACGGTATGGGTTCCTTATTGGGAATCGATCAAACACATGTTTTGATCGATTCCCAATAAGGGACAAACCTTGCCCTGCGGTTTCACCCACTTTAATTTGAGGAAAATAAGTTACTGTGGGTCCACCCTAAAAGATAAACAGATAGCTGTCGCGGAATTTTATTTAAAACTTAGAAAGAAATTAAAATAATTCCGTCTAACATGATTTTTGTATAACTATGATCAGTAGTTACATAAGTACCTAGTTTCTGAGATAAGCACGTCTAACCAACCAAACAAAAAACTATTCAGCTTTATAATATTACATACTGCAGTTACAACACCGGGACCAATAGCTTAACCTGCCTTCTGAAGCATTGTCACATTAGATATTCACGAATTTTATTTAAGGACACATAGATATAGCCGTCGAAGTTATTTATGGTGACTTTTTCATGCACCGGCTATGATATTATTTAAAGTGCTAAGCATATAAAGAAGGTTATTATGTGAAATACATTATAATTCAATCTATCATAATCTTCAATCAACAATTCTATAGATAATGGGTCAACGTGTCCGTCTCGGTAAATATAGCCTCACTTGAGGCGTGAGATATTATTTTAAATTAGTTCGGTCAATACAAAACGAAGTACCTCGCTGGCCAATGACTGATGAAAACATTTTATTTTGTGGGTCATAAGGTTAATTTCGCATTTTCCTTTTTTCACCCTTACCGTTTTTTCCAAGTATCAGTACCCCTAGCACTAACCAATATCGAATTCGTATAGTTTGCGAGTCCGAAATGTCATTGTCAAATGTGTACTGATTTTTAGTTCTCGTTAGGTACTTTGTGCCGCTGCTGTTCAAGTCTCCATACAAAATTTGACATTAACATTTCGGTTTGCAAACTATTCGAACTCGATAATGGTTCGTGCTAGGGCTACAGATATAATATATAAGGAACAAGAGTTCGTTTTATAAGATAAAAGGTCGTATGTGCGAAATAACATTTTGTTATTGGTAACCTTATTCCTTTGTGAGATTGTTATTAGGTTCAACTTAAAACTGTTCTAATTTTAAAAGTTCTAAATCTTTTGAATTGTTGATCGAAGATCATAATCATCATTGACGTAAATCTTAGGTGGACTTTGAAGAGATGCGCATAATAAAACCGACGCCGCGTTTACTTCGCCGCAATCTGCAACCCGGCTTATGGGCTTCGTACGGCCTCTCACCGCACTCGAGACGGTTGCACGCTCGTCTGCACAGATTGCAGATAGATCAACAACTCCCCTTACCAACGTTCCCAGTGGTTTTAGCCCCGGTGCCACCGCCGCGGTCTATTGCGAATGACGACCCTAATGGTAAGTACATAGAGTTTACAATAAAAGGTTTTATCCGCCTCTCACCGCACTCGAGACGGTTCCACGCTCGTCTGCACAGATTGCAGATCGATCAACAACTCCCCTTACCAACGTTTCCGGTGGTTTTAGCCCCGTTGCCGCCGCGGTCTATTGCGAATGACGACCCTAAAAGTAAGTACAGAGTTGACAGTGAAAACAGCCGTAATGTACAATTGGAGCTATAGGTTTCGTACTTGGTACTCTCGCCTCACTCAAGGCAGCTATATGCTAGTCTGAATAAAATGCAGATTATCCAATGGGCTTCCTTTACATTGTTACTGGTAGTTTAAGGCCCGCGGTCTTTTACGAATAACGACCCTAATGGTAAGTAACTGTAGGTAACAATAAAAGGTTTTATTTAGTTTACTTTGGCGTAACCTATAACTCTTAGATTTAGGTTTCGTACGGCATATCAGCTATCAGTACGGCATAGAAGCAGCTATGTGCTGGTCTGCTGGATAAAATATAGATAGATTAACGACTTCCCTTGCCGACGTTCCCGGTGGTTTTAGCCCCGGTGCCATCGCCGCGGTCTATTGCGAATGACGACCCTAATGGTGAGAATATAGAGGCTACAATAAAAAACTTAAAAGTTCCTTCGCCGCACTCGATGCGGTTACTCGCTCGTCTGCACAGATAATAGATCGATTAACAACTACCCTTGCCGACGTTTCGGTTTTAGCTCTATTGCGAATGACGACCTTAATAGTAAGTATATAGAGGTGACAATAATAGGATATATTTGGTTTCCTTTGCTGTAATCTAAGATTCGAGCTTTAAACTTATGATCTCTTGCCGCCCTAGAATCATGTATATGTGCAAAAAATGCAGATCGACCAACAGCTGCCCTCATCAACTTTCCCGATAGTTTGCACCCTTGTGTAGTATTGAAATGTTAATTTCGTCTCGCTTCTACGAGTCGTACTATATATTTAAATACAGGTATACTGTGGGTTTAAAAGTAGAGTGAAAGTTGTAGGAATACCTACAAAACTTTAATTTGACGTCCGCCTCTTTCGGGCAGCACTCCTACAATTGACACGGATGTTCTTGAATTTGAACATACTCCAACAACATTTTATCTTATACTCCACTAGCAAAATTTTCTTCTTCGTAGGAATGAAACCATTTATCGAAGTTTCTATCGTGGAACGCATCATGGAGCATAGTAAAGTCCGCCAGTACAAATACTATAAGATGTTGATTCAAGAGTTCCACGTTAAAGTCGACATGGGTTTGATTAATGCGCTCATGGGAATGTTCCCGCAGACAGTACTCACCGAACAGGAAGCGGTAAGTTGTTATTTCAAGTGTTATGTGAGAATCGTCCTATCCTACTAAAGCTCCCATCTCGAGAAGTAAATTTTACTATGAAGCTTAGAGAAGAGCCTAATTACACTATTTTTATTTGTCACGGGGGTTAAAGAATTGAGTTCTTCTGTATGGCAATGTTAGGGTATTATGCCCATTAGACTAAGTTTATCCTAATACTTACTTAATAAAACAAACTTAATAGAAGACAATCATCAATAAATATGTAATTGTTTCAGCTGGATGCATTCCAAGCAGATTTAGAAAAAGCAGGACAACCTTTAGAAGCTTTAGCTGCACAGGGTGTAGCCTCCGACCAAAAGAATTTCTATGACAATTTGCATTTATCTCCCCTCAAAGTGAGTTAAATAATTCATGTGACAGGTCTTTGTAGTTGTATGCTAAATTAATCTTTAATGCTATTGATTCTAGGTTCATGTTTCGTTCTCACTTGGTGGAGCGACGCAATTACCAACTTTCGTTGGTACGTTACTACAGAGTATTGGTGTTACATTAACGGACATGAATGATGTTGTGTTTAAGTAAGTTATAATTATAAATTTAATTATCTTATATGGTCAACAGCATAACCGGCATGTGTACCAAACTTATACAAATCCGTGCAGTAGTTTTTGCGTGATTGACGTTTTTGTCTGATACATACTTTCACTATTATAAATAGGACTATTTGATCTTTTTCGTTGTTAATTAATAATTTATTAGCAATGGAATTACGATGAAAAAAAACCATTATAATGGCATAAATAAATTAAGTAAAGTCGTAATGGTTCTTGATTTACCTAATAATTATGAAGTTATTCTTTTTTTACTGTCGTATTTAAAACATTTTTATTTTAAGGTTATCTTACTACGAACGCAACTACGAATTCTTATCCCAAAAAGAGTTAATAGCTCAAGTACAGAGTCATTACACTGGGCAGGCTTTGAAACAACTCTACGTCTTAGTACTGGGGCTGGACGTAATAGGTAACCCATATGGACTAGTAATTGGGTTAAAGAAGGGAGTTGAAGATCTCTTCTATGAACCGTTCCAGGTCAGTAAGTTTTGTGGAGCTTTGAAAATTAACCTTTGTAAATTATTATTCTTATAAAGAGTGAATATTTAAGGACTTTTTTCAATCGTTTGACTAAAGTGTTGGTAAACGACTTTTATTTTTGATGTGTAACATCTTTCCTCTCGCTTTCTTACAATTTGTGGGAGTGATATCGTGAAATGGGACGGAAGTGTTGTAACAGGAAGTCGCGAAAGCGCGCGCTATTTGATTTCTGTATAGTTTTAACTGTTACACATCATTCGCGACTACTGTAAGGCTCGCTCGTTTTTTAATAAGAAAAGCGTATAATGATGTATTCGTATTTCACAGGGAGCAATTCAAGGGCCTGGTGAATTCGCCGAAGGGTTGTTCTTAGGAGTGCGATCCCTCGTGGGCCATACGGTTGGTGGGGCGGCGGGGGCCGTGTCTCGTATCACTGGCGCCATGGGTCACGGGTTGGCTGCCCTGTCACTTGACAAGGTAATATGATGATGTATTCTTATGATATAGGACTAGATTCAAGGGCCTGTACCCTTAGTACGAGTTTTACAATAGGGTATTTTCCAAATTTTTGAAAACTAAATATTTATTTATCGCAAAAGTAAATAATATTTCAATTACCACGTATTCTCATATCAACTCCCGAGTGAAGCCAGGTATCATAGCTAGTTTTAAATATTTTAACTCGCGCCAATGAAGAAATAAATAGTGCGAGAAAGACATAATGTCGTGAGTGGTTATTTCCAATCAGTTTCTTTGTGTACTGCGAGTAGATTGTAATAAGTTTTTTCGAAACTTTTATTGTTGTTCGTTTTGATCTGTCACTCACCAAGTACTTTTAGCTTTTTTGTTGACAAAAATAACTTTTGTTCTGCTTTGATTCAAACACCAATCTAGAATTTGAGATGATATAATATAAAAATATTGTGTATTCTGTCAATAGGACTACCAAAGACGGCGTCGTGATAATATTAACAAACCACCCGCAAATCTTCAAGAAGGTCTCGCTCGCAGTGGAAAAGGGCTAGTTATGGTGAGTGTTTGAGAATCAATCACAATGACTAAATTCAAAATATAGTTACTTAAATCGTTCTAATTTAAATTGAATTTCTGGTAATGAAACGTCGCAATTTTATGAATCTAGCATAACACATGATGTCGTAGAGAAGATGAAAATCGCCTTTACACGACACGCGCTTTCACTTGCAAATGACGCGATTGAACACGCGAAAAATTCTCTTGTTCTTTTTTTTTATCATTTGATGCTGCAAAAAGACCATGCCCGCGTGAAACAGCGTTCGTGTAAATTAATTTTATTATATGTCTATTCCTATTATTTCTCTCTTAGACTTGTTGATAGATCTTTTTAAATACTGTGAGTTTTGTGCACATTCATGTAAACATAGTTTTGTGTTTTACTAGAATATTTCGATCTAAATTTAATAAATGTGAACTTAAGACCCTTCCCAAACGGGGAGAACTTTGTATACCAACGAACGGCCACGATTCTATTGTGGTTGAGCCAGATTTCTGATTGGGTGAATAGGGCGTGGTTGACGGTATCACTGGCGTGTTCACGAAGCCTATATCGGGCGCTCGCGACGAAGGCGTGGAGGGGTTCTTCAAGGGGCTGGGTAAAGGCGCCGTGGGCCTGGTCGCTAGACCCACCGCTGGAGTGGTCGACTTCGCGTCCGGATCATTGGACGCCGTCAAAAGGTTCGCTCTTCTAGGTATAGAGGTATAAGAATAGAGTAGGGGTGATATAGACTATACTACAAGTAGAAGTTTCCCTCTATTAAAAAGTGAAAGAAGATGTGAGACCGCCAGCTTTCTCGGTCTAATCGCACATAGCATTGGATGCCATGCGTCACAAGAGAGAGAGATAGCTAGCGGTCTCTCATCTTCTTTCTCTTTCTACTAGACGGACACTTTTAAAGCCGCCTTCCCCACTCTTTTCTTATACCTCTATGCTTATAGGGCTCTATGCTTGCTTGTTACGATGCGCTTTGCTTTATTGCATGTCTTATGTTTATGTTACAAAGTAGAAACTTAAAAGAGTTGTGTGATTTGATGTTTTTGATGCTATATTCTAATATTTGTGTCTCTTTTCCTGATTTTTTTTAATGCTGTTACACTACTTGCTTAAATTGAATATACGTATCTTTTCTTTTCCTGAAACTTTGGAATACAGGTACACTGGTTTGAAGTGACCAATATGAAGGAGTAGTAAAACAATATTATAGTTCAATAGATAAACAATATAGGACACACGAAGTTAATAACGTATACACATTAGATATTATTTCTATGCAAAATACTATTAAAAAATGAAACATTTAATCATGCATACAAGTATAAATGGACAAAGGATGCACACGTCTATCGTGAATAGGTGCAACAGTTACTACGAATGAGTAAGAATGAACAGAAGCGGTAACCTGAAACGGATTTTAAATGCAGTAATATACCCAGTGTAACTTATGTCTCAGCCCTGCGCCATGATAGCATGTATAGCATGAATCTGGATAAATAGCCTTGATGAATAGGAAGGATAGTCTTGAGGGGTCCGTAAGGGGGACTACTTAAAGGGACCCTACGTTAATGAAGCCTGATGATATATAAAAATCAATCAAAATCAAAATTAATCAATCAACAAGAAAATAATAATAAGTATTATTTAGAATAAAACAGATATTTTGAACATAACATAACATCTGATCTCTTGCGCAGCGATAATTAATTTGACATGCTCATAAACAATTTCTAGCTTAGCGAATACTAACTAAAATAATTGCTACAATTTCAATCTATTCCTTTAATTAATTTTGAGAATTCCATGTTTTAGATTTTTGTTTGCAATCCGTGTCAATCGCACTTGTTTACCCGGACCGCATCCTCTACCCTTCAGAAAGACAACATTTTAATATTGTGCTATTTGGTTGGATTCTCCTGTAAAGCAGAGGTAGCTACCTCAGAAAGGCGCTGCAATTTTAAGTTGGATGTCCGTTGTACTCTACCTATTCTATGATGTGTACTGTTTACAGGATAGGCCCCATTACACAACCTTGGGGTAGGCCTGCTTTTACCTCGAAGAAGTTAGAGGTGCATTCAGACTCCTTTACTTGAAATATTCGATTTTCGAGTTGCGTTCCAGAAGTTTTAATAGCTATGTGAATACCTATTTAACTTGCAAAGAAGTCCTACGTGTAAAACTTTCGAAAGCCTGTTTGGTATCTAAAATTCGGAAAAGCAATTTTCGTTTTCCTTTATTATCTTATTTATTTTTTCTCCTCCTTTATGCACTTATGGATTGTTTTTTTATATTTGGTTTGATTGTCATATATTGCTTTGGCTAGTTTGTTCAGCTCAGTCATTATTCGGCAAAGGAGGAATTTTACAAACTTTTGTTTACAAAAATAGTCAAGAACTACACATAACAGTCAACAACAACAAATGCCTGTCAGAGAGATATACATGGATTAGCACTGACTCCAAATTATATAAATTTTACTTTTAATGTACTTTAGATATAAGCCAATGGTAATATAGTATTACGAGAGCATGTCCAAAAGTTCGTGAAATCGAGGGGATGGCGAAGGGTGGGGGTTTTTTTTTTACGTAGTAGTACTTGTAGCCTCAATACACCTATATATACCCAGTTTTAGTCCATTACCCTTTGAGATATCACTGAATAAGTAAGCCAATCGGGAAGAGAGCGTTGTCCATAACAAAATCGAGTTTCTTACGATGCTTAAATTCCTCACAAAGCCAGGCTAAAATACAACAGACCATTATAGAAGAGATGTCTACTATGAGAGATATGAATATGATAGTAAAAGTTGTTCTTGAAGATGCGCGTTTGATAATGCAATTAATCGTAGAAATAATTGGGATCATTTACAATGATTTGAACATTCTTTATAATCATCTTGGCATGTTAAATGTCGGTGCGAGTTGGGTGCCAAGTTTCTGAACCTGTGTAGTAAGAACAGATAAATTTATGAACCGTATTGTTACTGAGATGAAATTTGGGTGGCAAGTGGCATAAAAAAGGTGCAGCACCGCATATAAAGTTTAAGGTGACACAATCGGTTGAGGTGATACAATCGGTTGGGAAGATGGTTGCTACGATTTTATGGAATTCTACGGTGGATTTTATTGGTTGATTCTAAAGAAAAAGGTGTCAATATAGTGGGACAACACTATGCTACACTGCTACAAAAACTAAAAGACGTAATCCTATAAGGATGAAGGGTAAAACTCAAGGTGTGCTCCTCTTGCACAACAATGCATCCGTCGACAAAATTCATGTTGCCATGGCTGACCTAAATGAGTGTGGCTTCGAAATATTTAACCACACGTTTTTTAGCCGAGATTTAACTCCTGATTATTATTTGTTTCCAAAACTGAAGAAAGAGCTACGTGGAACATTTTACCAAGGACATTGAAGTGAAGTCTGCAATTTTTGCCTATTTTCAGAGACTTGACAAAACATTTCGATGATAAATAAGTCTGAAAAATATAGATTGAGAGGAAAAATAATTAATTTTTAATTTCTCTTCTCCCTCATTCCGCGAACTTTTGGACTTCCCTAGTTTATAAGTAGATTTGAGTGGGTGGCAATCTGATCAGTGTCTAATGTCGACTGATTGATTTTATTTTATTAAGTATTGCATTTATAAGGATATTCCTTAAGAAACTTGGAATTATGTCAGTTTGTCTATTATAAGTTTTGATAATTAGGCATGTTATATTGCATTTATTGTAATGGGTTTTTCCCGGCTACGGATAATTTGAAACAGTCGGCTAGGATTTGAGAAGTTAATAGGGAGCGGGTTTTGTTAAGACCGTGCCTGGAGTACTGTGTGCAAAACTTATATATGAGGCGCCATGCACACAGTAGCAAACGATTTCAGATGGAATAAAAATGTCCACACATTAAATGTTCACATCCATTTAATCAATTGTCACATATTTAATGCAGTTTACATAACCAAGAATGTTAATTTAAATTCAGCATATAAGTTAAATTTCTACCCTTAAATGAGCCTACAAAATGGGTTAGTATTACCCGGTTAATCAGTCTGAGCTGTCCATGCGGTATCCAATCATCAACGGGCGGTCTGGTCACACGTGTCCCATCCCCTGGATGATGGTATTTGTAAGGCAATGGGCAGCTTCCACACCCCGGGTACACAGGCAATAGTCCTGGCTGGAGTCCACGTGTCTAGGTCCTCGTGGCTCGAAGCATCTTTAGGTTGCTGAGATTGTGGATTTTAGGTCATCGCGGAGTGAACATTTAAAATAAAAATAAAAGGGCCTAAGCTAGGCTTAACCTAAAGAACCCATGCGGTTATCACGGGTTCAAATTTTATGCCCATTCTGTTGATGGGAGTTGTGGCATATTATGATGCTCTGCCGGAGCAAAGTGCAACCAAAAAAAAACTTTTTGTTGTAGAAAATTCCCTCACTTCCTTCCTGATCTGAGGCTTGTCGTGGAAAAAAAAAGATGATTTTTGTGCGGTGACACAACTATTCGCATACCGAATACCTCGAGACATAAGTCATCGGTATGCGGAATCGAATCAATCGATTTAATGAAAAAAATACCATTACAAACTAAATGTTAATTGTAGAATTAACATTTTTCCACAAGGAGCGAAACGAATATATTCACTTTATTTTTAGGGATGAATTCCCTGAAAGAAACTATCAAAACTGAAAATTATATACTAATCGATCAGCTATCGATACCAATTAATACGATCTACAGATTCCGAACTAACAAACATGTCATCCCTATTACATCACAGATGCAAAAACCATTGTTCCTTTCATATAACGCTGGCGAAAGTCAAGACTACTCTGTATTATACAGCCTAAACAATTGATAAATTTATTATTTTTATATTTGTATTGAATAATTGGTTGGCTGTATTAATTTTATGATCAATTTAATGTTAAACAAAGATTATAAGTCAAAGAAATGAAATTTATTCATAATTTAATAATCATGGACATGCGTTGCGATTCTGTAACTATTTATGTGAAGGAAAGTTTAAAGTTCCGATTTCTGAACGCAATTTAAAGTGACATTGGGGTTGACATTTGAGGTTATCAACCCTTCTGTTTATTATTATTTACCAATGATTTGATTTTACACTCAAATTAGCTCATTGATACAAAAAAAAAGTGTTACAGTATGCTTGCTCCTATAGGTCCTAAGATATTGTAAGGAAATGTTTCCAAGCAACGTTAAGTTAATTAGTAATGATGATGAATGATGAACATGATAATAGGGAATAAGCATGTACTTTTTTTCATTACACAATTACGTTTGATCATTTTTTTTGCATTTAACTGCTAGATGTTTAAATCTAAAGAAAATTATACTAGAAATATTCCACGTGGACCAGGCAGCAGACGGCTATCCGGGCGGATGCACTGACTATTATGCACTACGGCCCTAATGGCCGTGTCGAATTTCCTCTAGTATTTCTTAGGCTCCAAGGCAGCGCCCTATCTTCGCATTGTAGGTAACCCATAGTCAAAGTCCGCGTGAATTATTTTTTCTAGTATTTTATTTTTAGATTTAAACATCTAGCAGTTAAATGATATTTTTTTTAAATCTACAATTGCTATTTTTTCTTTCAAATGTTTAATACATGTAAAGGTTTGACATTGACATTGTGGGTTACCTACAGTGTGAAGAGATG